ATCTAACAGTCTAAAATTGCTTTTAATCGCAAGTTAAAGTATTCCGACCAAAAGTTGTATACCTGTAATTTGGGGGGGGGGGGGCGATGTTACATCACATTACTACAACGTTCATATAGAAATATACAATAATCATGTCGTATAAAAGCTAAAATTATAAATACTCATTTCAAAGTCATTCTGTTCATGGAAGCGTCAAGTTATGAAAAACAATGCTAAACACTAAAATAAACAAATCGACTTGATTACTTTTGGAAACTTCTTGAATTCTTGATGGATAAATGTATTTTTCTAACTCATTAGAACGTCTCTCTGATTGAAATACTATTTTTTAAATACAAACATAAATGAAAAATCTTGGTCAGAAGTCTGAACATTGTCCAACGAAATAATAAGAATCTACATTTAACATTTAATGATTACAAAAGGATTAATTGCTATATAGTCTTTGTCTTAGTCTTTGTTTTTCTAACGGTGGAAGTGTACCAACATCACCTTGATTACAGAAGATCTAACAGTCTAAAATTGCTTTTAATTCCCGGGTTTTAATTACATTGTATGAATAGAGTTTTTTGCCTCTCTTTTCATTTTTAAACCGGTCTCTGTTTCCGTATTTAACAATTTATTGTGATAAATTATTTCACTTAGTGTCGAAATAAAAACGATTTTCTACATTATAGTCCCCTCCTCTTGCACTGACTAAATATTAAAATAAGCCAGTCTGATTGCGAATTTACAAATCCTATAAAAGTAGCTTCAAACCGCCTTTTAATCAGAGAAAAACAATAAGTTAATTAATCTGATTGATTTAATTATCTGATCTCCATGCTATTTGATTCGTGCATTATAGCCAATCGGGCAAGGGTGAAATTATTTCATTTGAAAACAGAAATAAATATTATAACCCCTCTAGCATAACTGTTCGGGAGAAATTCATACAAAAATAAGGTACACAACTGATGAGGGATCGCACGCAATGCACGCACCCCTCTCCTCCTCCTCCGTGTTTGCCCACACACGACCATATTTGATAATTTTTTAAAGGAAAAAGCATTTCCCCCGGGAATATAGGTGTAGCGGTTGCCAGAAGTCGTACAGCTTGGGAGTGGGTATCCTGATCCATTGCTCATCGCCTGATTGTACTGATTATATATGTTTTATATGTCTCTGGTTTGAGTCAGGGAACAAAATCTAATCAGACAGACGGATAAATTAATATTTGTTTTAATAAATGAGTATTATAGGTTATAGGCAGGCCCGTAGCCAGGGGGAGGGGTTCGCAGGGTTCGGGCGAACCCCCCTGGCCAAAGATTCTTTCAAAATCATGCAGTTTTTCACCATTTTGAGCATTTCTCGTGTGATTTTAGCCATATTTGGACCAAAATTGTCAAATGTGAACCCCCTAGACATTTTTGAAAACTGCCCCCCACCTTGACAAATCCTGGTTACGGGCCTGGGTTATAGGCAGTATCATGGGAACCAAGGAAATGTGTATTATTTTCTGTTTACTTCGGAATTCAGTGAACCATCTGTAGATTGAAAAACAAGGATCAATAAATACAACTACTCAAAATCAAACATTAGAAATCTATTCTTGACTGGACACATTTTTGTTCTCGAATGCCAACTTTGATTTGAATGATTTCAATCAAATAGGTAGGTGTGAATATTTTCGAAACAAATGCGTGATGTATACACATATTTTGTACCAAATGTGTGACATAAACGGCAATCGCGTGCAAAGACCGAACAGAATGCGTTCGCTTTTTTTCGCCGTTCGGTATTCTACCGTGTCGGCATTTCACAAAAACGATTTTTAAAAATTTCAACAAAATCCGTGATTTGCGTGATATTTGATCATACACGCTTAATTGATGCGTGATTTCTATTTTTCCAGCAAATGCGTAACAATCACGCCTAATCTGCTAATGCGTGAGGGTTGACAGGGCAGTTATTACATCAGAGACATATAAAACGCGACCCGATCGGGAGGGGATTCGGGTTGTACACAGTACACACATTGCTATCTCTTTATGCATGTTTAATTGCCAAATTACTATAAAAACAAGCTGGAGTAACATTAAGTATTTATTTAGTATTTTGTTATCACACATCAAAAGGCGCATTTGAAGTTCAGAAAATGCAAGAAGACTTGGATAGACATTATGTATTTATATATTTATATGTTATGAATTTATTTTGTATTCAATTCGAATTCTGTTGAGTTGGACTCCTTGAACATCCCCCCTTGGCTACGTGTATAAGTACCTTCGGCACAGGAGAGAATAATATTAGACTTCTGCAATGCAACTAATTAGAGAGACCTAAAATGAAAATAATGTAACAGTGGTCTACTTCGGGTAACTGTTCCTGTAAAAATATACAATTGTAGTCCATCACAGAGTTCATTTATTTCACGAAAGCGTCAAAGGACACTGCCTCTAAACACTAAGATAAACAAATTAACTTCCGCAGAAACATCCTGTAGAGGAAAAAACAAATGGCTTTTCATAACAGATTAGAATAGCCAGTCTGTCTGATTGTATACATGTAATATATTAGATACCTTTTAAATTAAATGAATTTTGACGGATTATGTGATTCCTGGGAAATGAAAAATAGTTTATTTTTCCTGGCTGTTTAATGAAAGCACATTTAAAAATCTCCATTCATTAACATCTAATGGGCTTTGAAAACCAGGGATTGAAAACGAGGAATCAATGGTAATTAATACGATCTTAGAATTTGTACACGTGTATGAGAGGTGCGAAAGCCAGGCTGACCGTGCGGTCGCCGTATGGTTGACATGCGGACAATGTAAGAATGCGAAGGGTAACTGTGTTCTGGTCTGGCCGTATGATTGCTACAAATGGATATGCATGGATATATTGCACTCGACAGAGTTATGTTTATGTCTTTTGAACGGTGGCTCTACCTCGATGCATCTGTTAATAAATGATACTATAAGCTTTATTGGATGTGAATTCACCCTTTCAAATTCAAATTCCAAATAAATAAAGCACACAATTTAAGTGTGACAAAAAAGAGCAAAACTGAAAACCCGTTCACCTAAAGTGCCCGACATTACGTTAATAAACAATTTCCACATGTTGAAATATATTGCTATTTGATTGAGTTCAAGACAAAACATTTTGGAATTGTTTCACATAATGTAATATTCTCGGATTTGATGCATACACATGTTTCACAATCAGAGACAAGGGTCTTATATGGGGTCTTACATTTGGAAAACCAATCTATAAGTAGTATTAGATTATCACAAAAGATAAATAAGTTTTAAAACTGCGGTTAGGTAGCATCTTGATTACAGTAAAGAGAGGTCATCTAGGAAATATTTCTGCCTCTAATTCCTTAAACCGCTTCGTTGAACAGTGCCAAAATATTTCAGTCAGATCCTAAAACAAAACTATTTTTATTTTTAATCCCCCCACCTTGTCAATGTCTATGCCTGCATCTGGTTTTGCCCACCATTGGGAGGGAGCCGATATACACATAGATTACTTACTTGCCATGGACAGGGGGGGCACAGAAACGAACAATCTGGGGTCATAAAAGATAATTGGGGAAGGAGGAGGGGAGGTGGTGAATAGTGAAGTCCGGGAGCGAAGTTAAGGGGTACTGAAATCTTTCTTTTGATATTTAGTGCTTGAATGGAGACTCGTTTCCACTCCCCGCACTCTAGTAAAATTCAAATATTTGATCCAAAAGGAGTTATTTTGTATCAAACTTGCATTACGATTAATTAACACTCCCACGATTGTACCGCTTCACTATTGTCTAAGATAATTATGATGAATTCACGGGACACTATGGTCTTCCTTTTAAACTTTAGTGGTTGGATCAGAGACATAAAAACAATTATAAATATTTGATTTAGGGAGGTATTTGCAATCCAACTCTGATGATACAAGACTAGTCAGCCAAGACTAAATTATGAACTTATTTATCATTTAGACTATTGAGTTCATTAAATTATTATTACATAGATATTGCATTTAATCCTGTCAACACAATCGTGGTATTAATTGGCATGATATTTAATCAGAGAGACGGTTTAAAAAGTTGTGATTAATTGTATTAATGATTAAGTATTAGGAAAAATCCTAATTCAGGTCAAAGTTTTTGTTCTCTCGCAATAGCAAACCCCTCGCCGGGCAAGCATTCTTTAAAAACGTGAAGTTGAGCAGTTTTGAAAATTGTCCATTTTGAACCATCGCCTTGTATATTTTTATAACTGCCCTTAAATCACGATAACCGTGATTCCCGAAAGCTGAGATAACTATGGCACACAAATACTAGTAGCCGTTATGGAAAATAAAAACACCGAATTTTGAAATGGGTTAAAATGTCGCAGTTTTACGTTGTCTCCGTTAACAATATAGCTTTAATATTAAGACATATTGATTTCAATTAATAAAGTGCCCACATTTTTCTTTCATGGAGCGCATTGAAGCAATCCAATATTATAATAAAACCGCTAATAATCTAAATGGGCGCCCATGTTTTTGCAAGCACGTTATAAATGCTAAAACTAAAATATATCTTTCAACTGCTGCACTAATCACTTCTGGTGACTTATTTTGAAAAATCATTTATATTAATTCATTACAACTTTCAAATGTCAAAACTTAATTTATCAATACCCGCTTTTATTATAACACTCAATATGTCTATGTCAACAAGATAGTGTCAACACGTTGTGTCAACAACATGTAACCTAATGTAAACAAATTATACGCAAGAGCAGAGAAATGTATCATCCAGTATAATATGTTTTTCCCAGTTGAACCAGATGGAATATAACAGCTGATAACAGCTGATAACAAATTAAAACAAATTATACAAGTATCAGAGGAGAAACTCCAAAAAAGTCCGTATCATTCATTGTTATAATTATGTCTTATACATAAACCTATGATAACAGGTTAAAACCAATTAAAACAACTGATATGTATGTTTAATAGGTTTATGATTCTGTATTAATCATGGGATTTTACATAGTGTTTGTCCAATGTACCTCTACTGTTATATACGTTACCAAGATTCCACAATGTATATGCTATACTAGGATGAGGATGATTACGGTGTATTGTTTCCTGCATCTCAAGACACTCCTTGTGACATTTGATTGCTTTATCAAACTTACCTTTTCCGTGGTATGTGTTACCAAGATTCCCCAATGAAGATGCAATATTAGGATGAGGATGATTATCGTGTATTGTTCTCTGCATCTCAAGACTCTCATTGTGACATTGAATCGCTTCATCAAACTCACCTTTACTGTTATATGCATTACCAAGACTCCCCAATGAAGATGCAATATTAGGATGAGGATGATTATCGTGTATTGTTCTCTGCATCTCAAGACTCTCATTGTGACATTGAATCGCTTCATCAAACTCACCTTTACTGTTATATGCATTACCAAGATTTCCCAATGAAAATGCAATATTAGGGTGAGGATGATTATCGTGTATTGTTCTCTGCATCTCAAGACTCTCATTGTGACATTGAATCGCTTCATCAAACTCACCTTTACTGTTATATGCATTACCAAGATTTCCCAATGAAGATGCAATATTAGGATGAGGATGATAACCGTGTATTTTTCTTTTTATTATAATACTCACATTGTAAGATTGAATAGCTTTATCAAACTCACACTTTCCGAAAGATGCGTCACCAAATGCGTCTAACTTTGCTAAAGCCTTTTGGGTTCTTGGGTACTCTTGGTATTCGAGAGAATTTATCACATCTTGAAACATATGCATTTCCATTTGTATGCTTGCAGTTGTTTGAGGACTCAAGTACATATATTGAAATAGATGCTTACACGTTGAAATATCATTAAAACAGTAGTTATATAACAAAAAGTCTCTCCACGGAATGAGTGTGGAGTAAAACAGGAAAATAGCAGGTGCGTAATCTCTTACTGATACAAGATCAGATTCTGCAATTAATTCATCTTGAGATGGCCTGGTTACAAAAGATACCATTTCTCTTTGTTGACCTGATCTACCATATACTAAATGACGCATGTTGATGGCCATGCATACCATGAATTGTAAATCTATTTTAGCACTCGCATGCAGTACTTGCTTATCGTGTAACTCATCGAGAATATCCAGGGAAGAAAAGGATGTACAATGATGCAAAAACTTAAGAGAGTTAATTGATACAGTTGCAAATCGGTAAATATTGTGTTTTGTATGCATTTGTGAATTGAATGACTCCGGCGTAAGAGGTTTGGTGAGGTAAGCCTTTAAATCTTCCCTTAACGTTTCTATTCCCCTTTCTTTACCTACAGACAGTTTTGGGTCAATGGTTGAAAGAGAGGAAAGTATTTTGTGGACCTTTTCATTGTACTCGTTCCACAATGATTCATCCCCAGTGATCAGAGTGGATGTTAAAAGTACATCGCTTAGATGATAACCTTCCTTGAGAGAGACTTCTCCAAGCTGACATTCAGACATTTCATCAACTGTCATAATCAACTCTAAAGTGTCTTGTTTTGTAGGGTGCTTTGTAGATCGTCTACCAAAGGGTATTTTACTAGCTTGTGGCAAGGCACCATCGAAACAAAGACCCTGTGGGGTTATTTCATCATAAAAATCATTATCTTTGACACCTTCCGGAAGTTTACTATTGAAATCGCAAAGAACTGGAATATCCAAGGCATTGATCTTTGTTTCACCGAGATTGATAACCTTTAGGTGAAAATAATGAACAAGGATTCTAAAATCAAGTTTTAATTTCTCAATTTCCTCATTTGACTTACCAGTTGGGTCATACAAAATTGCTGATTCGAGGTCAGACCATGCGGTTACCTCTTTCCGAGCCAACGATCCCAAGCCAATTATTGCAAACCTACAATTGGGACGACCTAGAACTGAAATACAGTCATCTATCATGAGTTTGTGTAATTCTATGATCTTGCTCGTCAGAGTATCATAGAAACATTTACTTTTTTCGATCGTTCTTCTTTGGCATTCTTCATTCATCTCGAACGTCACAGAGTCTATTAACATGTCTTCCGTTTGAATACCATGTATCGCCTCTTTTGAATATTTTCGAATGCCTTCTAAAACACCTTTGTACCTTTCTCTGCTCTTGCTGAGGGGTTCCTTGTTCACTTTGAATGCTGTCTCAAGGAGGCCCGTTTCTAATTGTTGCAGTTGTTTCTGTATATTATCAATACTATCAGCTAAGATTACCTCGTTTTCTGCGTTAATCTTTCTAAATCGTTGTAAAGCGGCATTGTACAGCGCTGTTGCATAGTTGAAATGCCAACCTTCTCGGGTTTCTTTTGCTAAATCTGCATATTCTTTACCCAAATCACACATTAGTGTAGCTTGTTTTTCTATTTCCGTTTGTTTTGTTATTTCTTTTCCTAAGTCATACATAGCCTTGGTAATCCCACAGTCTGAAAAAATAAATCTTTCCTCTCTTACATCAACTAATAATGAAAACAGTATTTCCTCACGTCCCATAAAAGCATATATTTCATTCGACTTCCGAATTAAAGTAACACATTTACGATGTATCTAAAATCTAAAACCTCAAAAAGTAATAGATATGACTATATGTTGTATAAAAAGAGATTTAAAGAAAATGTGTCTGAGAGATAAATAAAAAAGAAAAGACCCTTGGTCTCGACCGGGAATCGAACCACCGACAGCTGGATTCAAACTATCAAAACCTAATGGTGAGCCCAGCGCCTTACTCCATTAGAACACTGGCAAGATGATATACGGTTGTAATTCTAAAGCTATGTTATGAATTTTAGAAGACAGTCGAATCGCTGCATAAGATTAATAAAAAAATAGTCAATAATCATTTTAATAATATTTAAATATCTATTTCGGTAAATTTTTAAGTCAAAACCAGGATTAATGATGTAAATTCAGTTTTCATTTAGATAATCTATTTCCTGTTATGAGTCGTAAAAAAACATGGCTCCGAAAAAATATTTCTTGCATCCAAATTTCAAAATGATATATATCCATGGATCAGTTATTTTTGGCAAATGAACCCATCCTAATAGAAAGGTAAGATTATTTTCTTGAAATTATATCGTTTAAATTTTCGAAATTCGGCCTAGAATCGTCAGAGAGTTACTTTAAAGTCTCAAACAGGAATTCATTCATTTTGTAAAAATCGAACCAGAAATATACAATCCCATCTTTTCAAATGATGTGTCGATTTTTATCAAAGTTGTCGACAATGTTCGAAGAAGAAAGTTCAATATACTCTTATACTCACGCTCCTCCCCTTATCAACGTCAAGTTCCCGCATTTTTCAATGAAAATTTTAAGAGGTTCATATATCAAAAATGTCATTTTATCTCACCTTTAGACTCGGTGCCTTCGGGTATGTAATCTATCTTCTCATCATACGCTCTTTTCATTGCTTCATTTTTGTTAACACATATCTCCAGCAACTTCTTCAATTGTGAAATCCCTTAAGTACAAACAAAACTGCTAGATAAGGCTATGACAAGATGTACATGCGTACGGTGTATTGCGTACTGTGTACTTCACAGGTTCTACATAAAATAACCATGTCATTAACATGCAAAATGTCACCACCTACCATCTGTTACAGATGTCGACGGTCGACGGTCGAACGTAGAACATCTACTGCCAAAAAAACATTCCAAAAACTTGGTAACCAAAACAATATGCCACCTCATGTGGTGGCGATATAATTTGTTTGAACTTGTGTTTTGGTGTTTTATGACTGTATCAAATAAGCTTTCGATTCAAATTATTCACGTATTCATTCATATTCATAATTGCAAATAGTGTTGCTATTTACCCGTACTTGTTTATACTAAATTAATGTTAGTAAGTTAATTTAAGTTGTCGTGAAATCAAACCTGTGACTAGGTACAACCTTACTTATTTGCTTTAGTCTACCCTGTTGCTAATAAATATGGAATATTTCATAGATATGAATTGTTTATGGAACTACCCTAAAATGATTACAATTAATTTGTTGACAATTTGTGTGTCCTGATTCCGTCATCAGTTTTGCATATAAAACTGATTGGTATGAAAAGTTAAAACATTTATGGTTGATTAAACTTGCATTCACTAAAGTGACACTATGACTTCATGATCATTGTGCACATTTTAAAAACCCGTGTTTCAGAGCAATAGACAATCGGTGATTGCCATTTAAAGGATGCAAGGCCATGAGCCGTTTGAAGAGACCAAAACTGACCAATCGTAACAATGAAAGATGCCCTCAATATGCAAGAAAGCACCAAAACCTCGGACTTAATCTTTGGTGTCATAGGACATCATGTGATGAAAGAAGATGTGTCCTCCATAACGTTGATAATTGTGTCCGTTTATGTTGGAGACCAGGGGAAAGAGACAATAAGGACACTTACTGATGTGGTAGTCCATGAAGGAAGCCCTATTTATGTTTAGAGCAGTATTACAGAGATTGTTTTGAGCAGTACTACAGAAGTAGGTGATTCCCAAGCATACTTTCAGAGTAATTTGACCTTTTAGACCTACTTCAAGTACCACATGCGAACAGAGTGTTTTGGGGAACATTCAACTGCAGAATGATCATGCTGTTGCACAATGTTAGTGGCATTGCGCTGGCTTACCCCAGGGCAGGCAATGTGGACCAGCCCCCATTGGCACATGTCACTCAACCTGGCTCCTACAGAGCACATGTGGGACAACCTTGAAAGGGATATTCGTGACTTGGACCCCACCTCAAAATTAAGAAACGTTACGCACTGCCCAGTTTGAGGAATGGGGCCTTATTTCACTTAGACAGGTAAGATGTTTCAGTCAGGTCATAGCTGGTCCAATAGGATTGGTGCCCTGATTGCAGCACAAGGAGGACATAACGCATATAAGTGCTATCATTTGATAGCGGACGATTCATTTGGATCGGGATGTTTTTGAAAATATAAAAATTATTAGCGTACCCCTAGTTTGAATAACAGTTATTTTCTAAACTTAAGTGTAAATATTTTTTCTCTAAAAAATGTTGATTTGTAGATTTAATATGTGGGTATAATTTGCCTTGAAAATGAATTACTGAACCGTCTCCAAATAAATGTTCTCTTACTCCAAAACTTGAAATCTGAATCTGTCATATATTGTTGATAAAGGTTACCTCGGGAGATACTTATACCTGTATTTGTAGTAAATTAATTCAGGTTGTCAAGGAATTAAACAAGAATGAAATTACAAAACACAAAAAGCAAAGGTGACAAGCAATATTATACCTTCGTTGTCCTTTACACGGCCCCCGGTCATACGTTGATATCCATCCAGAAGAGTTAACAAAACGTTGCCACCTAAAACAATAAAGAAGTAAAACCCGGCGTCTGAAACATACTTTGTGAGATGTACGAAATAGGGATAACTGGAAACAGCGAAATTATCAAGAGTCATCGACAGGTCATCGGACATCATCTCGTTTGACTTTTTGATGAAAATGAAGAACATTGTATTTACGTGATTCACTTGCAGCGTCTCTTTTCTTGTTGAGGTAATCTCGGGTAGCAACGGCTCCATTGTCCTTTAAAATTTGTTTATAGGCGCCACTCAGCATCTCTAGGACACTGCTTTCCATTTTGACTACGAGTTCAATAAGTTCATCTCGTACATTGTCTTTAATTTTTATTGAGCTGTCTACAATTTGACTCAGAAGAAGTGCCATTTCATCAAAATCTTTCTGGGAACACTCTGACGGAAAATCACGAAATTTTCTTATATTTCTGGAAATACTTAACACATTATATATAATGTCAGGCTCAAATAGACACCCATGTTCATCGCTTAGCTGATCCTTTGAATCTTCATCGAACGCATGCCTACTATCTGGAACAAATTAAATATACTGATGTAATATCAATGATTAAGTAAATTAATAATTCGCTGTTCAAGAGGCAATAATGAATTGAAAATCAGTAATAAATGCTGTTCAGATTGTAAGGGACGAAAATGCTAGGAAGCGAAAATCTGGCTAAAAATGCGCTTGACTCTGGATATCCTCCACCAGAGAGTGCAAGAGTGCATGGAGACGGCAAATTGTGAATGCTGTAAGATCCGTCGAGGTCAGACATTTTTTCTTACAATGCTCATGTTATGGCAAACTTTTATACCTACTTGACTGTCACAGATTTTAAACCTTGCATTTGGTGGTTGATATGTCAGAAATATCCCAAATATCAAAGCCAGTGTAAAAGTATGATGCATTTGCTATGTGGCTCCCATGTATTAAACACGAACAACTTCAATAGTTAAAAAAATATGCACATTGTGTAACCTTTGTGAAACTGAAACAATTGAACACTTTATATTACGATGCCCAATATATGAGCCATAACATATTTGAAGCCCTTGACTGTCGTTGTCGTAGTACTATTATAAATAAAGTTTTAGGTCTTTCAGACATTTCATTTGATACGTTAATAATTGTATCATCATTTTAACACAGAATGTAAAATTACAGGGCCAACCTGTTAGCTCTGCTTGACACATACACATATATACAGGGTGGGCCAAAAAAAAAGTTCACCCTTTTTCATTTTAATCTCATTTTTTTTATTTTTGATGCAATCCCTTAAAAAATTGATATGTAGATAACTGAGACATTTCTAAACAAGGTCGATATATAACATTAGATGTGTCTTTGGCTGTTTTGTTTTTAAAGTAAATGTTCAATATGTCCTCCTTGTTCCTGCACAACCAGTTTTAGTCTATGAAGCCATTTATTTATTGCCGCGTTAATTGATTGTTGTGATAATTGTTCCCAACATAAAGTTATTCTTTGTTGGAGTTCTTGAATTGAATGGATGGGAACACTATGAACATGTTTTTCTAGTTCACCCCACACAAAATAATCCATAACATTGAGATCAGGGCTATTTGGGGGCCATAAGTCAGGGGGGATAAAATCAGGTGCATTGGCATGCAAGAACTCCATTGTCGCTTTAGATGTGTGCGAGGGAGCCCCATCTTTTTGGAATATGTAGTTTGGATTGATGCGATTCATATCCTTTAATAAGGACTTTTTTAGCACTCTGTCTATATAGTATGTAGAATTCATTTTGGCTCCAGGTTGAACAAATGTTACTCTAGTTTTTCCCAATTTAGATACGCCGGCAGATACCATCATTTTTGAGGTAAACTTTCTCCTCTCCTTTACAAGTCGCTCTCGGTGTATTTGCTTCTTTGTTTCAACATCAGCGTAAATCCGATCATTTTGTGAATTTTTAGGTGGATCAACTGTGAACATCTTCTCGTCTGTGAACCAGGTTGTATCTACCATACGTTTGGAAAATTTTGCATTAACTGACATAAAAATTATATTTACCATGATAACTTCTTTTCAAATTTCCCTCCTTTGTTTGAAATCTGCCTTTTTGTAAATGAAGTGAATTTCTGTTTTTTTTTTCATGACACACCATAAATATATTTTAGGTGTCATGACAACACTGTTGCATAAATTTCACTCAAATCCTAACAACATGTACAGAAATGTCTGAGCTATATACATATCAATTTTTAGAGGCATTGCATCAAAAATAAGAAAATTAGATTAACATGAAAAAGGGTGAACTTTTTTTTGGCCCACCCTGTATATATAATCTCATTATCGACGCCTAAACATCGTCACAAAATATACCGACGTACAGTTATAAAATATAATATACAAGGATAAGATCAAATTATGTGATAAAAAAGTTGTTTTAGAAAAAAATATCAAAACAAATCTGTTTGGGTGAAATAACCAAATGTGACCAATAATACGACTATATTTGTTCATTGTCTCGATCTTCACTTTCCGGTCAAAAATGTAAGATTTAAAACTATCTTTGGTGTAGTAAGTACAATGCTATTTTAAGTGACGATATGTAAAAAGGTTGAAAAGATTGGGTGAAGTAATGTTTACACAATGGTTGACCTTCAAGGTTGAAATGATGGTTACATACGTACAATGCTTCCAGAATTGGAAACTTTCTCTTAGTTATTCCCAAGTCGTGGGATGTTTTTTTTGTCATACTGTACCTCTTAAAGGAATTCCATCTGGTAAAGAATGTGCTCTGTCTCCATTGTCGTCAACAAAGATTTCATTCATATATTCATACCATTGAAGCAGCTTCTGCAAACCTAAAAATGTTTAAGTTAGTGGATATATAGCCAACAAGCATTAATTTGTATTCCATGTCAAATTCGATAAAAATATGTTTATTTACTAGAGAGCATGTGGAAATATATAGAGGTTATTTACTGGGAGGGATTGAATATGGGGTTTATTCCGAGGGACAAGATGCAATATCATCTTGCCACGAGGAATACACCCATATTCAATTCCGACCAGTAAATAAGCATTTAACCCATGATCTCCATAACTCTCTTTATTAAATTTTAAGTGCAAAATTGAAATCCATCTATATTTTGTATGAAACATAAGCAGAAGTTTGTTATATGATTAGTCTACAAAAAATATCCTATGACAACTTTATAGCATTTTGAAATACTAGTATAAAGTCTGTCTGTGTTAGATCATGATGATGAAATTACCATTTACCTGTGTTTAAAGGCTAAAATATGGCTTCATACTACTGACGTTTCAAAATCTCTTAATTTTTAAATGCGAGGTGAATACAACTTTCGCGAGCGGGATGGGGAGGTAAATACCATTTTCGTGAGCGATTTGATTGGGCTTTAAAGTGGCGTGCAAAGCGACTTTGCACGGCGCTTTAAAGCGCCATCAAAGCGCCGTTGGCGTAAACTTAGCTTTAATGAATATTTACTTGATTCCTTCGGAGCACGTTCCTTCAAAGTCATAATAAATGCCCGGGTTTCTTTACTATCAGTGTGCTTGAGAAAGCCAGGGACCATTCCGGCTGATCGTTCAAGTTCACGTTGTACCAGCTGGTCGACCAGTTGAGGAAGACCATCGGGCCATTTTACACTCATATTCTTAGCTTCAAAGAAACTGTCAACCATCTGGCTCAGCAGACCTACTGTTGTTTCTCTGTCTTCAACAACCTCTGAATTCAGTAACTGCAGAAACAAGTCTCCGAGTCTATCAGACATAGCTCGCCAACTGATCTCACCATATTTGATATCTATAAAATGAAATGATCACGCAATTCCACCAATCGTCAGATGTTAATTACTATTTGAAGTTAAATTAAAAATACATTTGGAATAAATGCGTGTAAATAGGGCATTATGTGCTAAATTAAAACGAACGTACCATTACCTGCCAAGTGAGAGTATAATTAGCATAATAGCACAGATCATTTCATTGAACCCGTACCCTTTCTTTCAATTTATAGATAATGACATCATTCGGTATGCTCATATTAAGAAATCAATTGAACCACAAAAAGAAATATTACTTTTAAAGCAATACTTACCTGTAATGTTAACAAGGCTAACGAAATGCAAGTGTGAGATATATCCCAGTCTTGCTAGCATTCTTTCTTTATCCCCAGGTCCTTCATCAGCTGTTATTGTATGCGGTTCATCAGTTCCAGCCGTGTATATAGCGACATCTATACTATACAGTTTGGCAAAGGCATACAGCATGAGATTATCCCCCCATACACCCGGTCTCACCATATACTCATCGGTATACCAAGACAATTGTTGAGTATGGAGATCTTCAGTTGATTCAAGGGTTGCTGCAAATTGCTGCCAGTCTTTATTATCCTCCGAATCAAAAAGCGTCATAACATGCTCACCAATAGGCTGAATATGAAAAAGGAGAAATGTAAGGTATTTCTTCCGATTGGTATTACAAAGGCATGCTATCATAATTTATGGACAATGAAATACTGTGACTCAATAGACATGTGGATCATTTCAATTCATACCAATGTCGTATGTTCTTGGATGCATTTCAGGAGAGATTGACGCAAATCACTTGCATTAACTTCAACAGACGTGAGGCGTTTCAACTGATCGCTGAGAGCTTCAAATAGACAATCTCCCATTCCACTATTCTCAATGATTACCAAGCCATGCCTCTCCAATACTGAATCAAGTGGGTGGTCTAAGGTCGAGTGCTCGCTACTCAGTAGAATTTCAAATGGAACTTAAATCAAAATACATCTTAAAAATTAATTTGAATTAGCAAGACAATGAATAGCTGGCTCTTGACTTTGATAATAAGCTCGGTGCCTCCTTTGCATAATGGCCAATATAATTTCGCTCTCCGCCATATACCCATGTTATAAACGAATAAAAACGTACATTTCGTGTCTTTAGGTCCAGGGTTCAGCTGCACGCCTCCTATGACCAGCAGCGAAGTTACAATTACCAGCAGCAAGGGAAACACTCTCAGGCCCCGGGTACTTCTTATGTTGCCCTCTACTTGGGAAGCATTCGACTTGTTGGATGATCTCTTTGAGCAGAAGTGGACTGAAGTATTTTCGTGAGAAGGTCCACTAGGACAAAACGTGCCGATAGCAGCACGCCATTGTTCCAATGAGTCTCCCATTGCGAGCTAAACAACTGCAAAGAGTACTTTATTAATGGAAAAAACACCATTAACAGTTGTTTTATATAATAAATGTAGACGTCTGATCAAATATAGAATTTATTTAAAGTTGATACGCGATGAAAATCCGCCAGAATTGAAAAGGGCGTCAAGTTTTTAATAATATTACCAAACATTATAACAAATATTATTTTAAAAGGTCACTTGCCTAACTGTAGGAAGAAATCTCAAAATTCTATTTCATCCAAATCATCTGAGTAGGTTGGCTATTGTCCTTTATGTGTTGTGACATTTGAGACTATTTTCTGGTATAGGGTGTGTTGTCATATTTATATAACATACAGGTCAATGATAATGTTTGAAGTTTTGAAGTGATCATCTCAATTTATTTATCTCGATTTTTGCATTTCATACTTTAAGATAATGTGCTCGTTATTGTTTGAAATATTACCTTTAGAAAGGACGAGGTGCAATAATTGGCATATACCCCTATGGTCAGAATGAATCATTCTTAGGTGTAACATGAAGAATATGATGTCATATACTTTTTAGGAAAATATTAAAGTGCTCGTATACACATATGCTGCGATATGGGTCATTCAGTTCAGTAAGATTGTATTGACTTACATGGGGCTGTGCATCATTGATTTAACATCGAGGATATCAGCATATCCCAATAGAGGCCATTGGTATCCATTGATATTCACAAAAATACCAAAATTACACAATGACCTGAATAATTGCAAACTTAATCATTTCACAATATGACAAAAATGGTTTATCTCATCAAATGTGCAAAATGAATCGATTCAGGTCATACTTGAAATCAAAAGCTTGTATATTTTTTATTATTTTTCCCTACAAAATGGCTATAGAAAAATGCTCCAAAAACAACTTTTACCCTTATCAAATATCATACAAGTTTGTAGAACCAGATTTTATACTATTATTATTTTATTATTTAGTAACATATTTGGATAGGATGTAGGAATGCGTTGGATGCAAATGGATTTTGATAAACTTCCTGCTTTTGGAATCTGTGCCTCTACACTCCATGTACACTTCATTGAATAATGACCCTAATGAATGGCCTATAACTACAGTGCTGAATATAGGTCAACAAGATACTAGTGTGCATATGAATATAATAATAAAAGCAGTATACTCATTTTGAAAAATTAGATGAATAATTTTTTTCATGGGGAAATCATAATTGTCAGTGCACTTCTTCCTTTATCAACCGTTTTACAAATGTATGACAGAGTTTAGATCACGCATCGCTTTGTTTTTCTCTTTATTAATCTAACGCTGATAACAAGAGTATTTTCACAATAGCAAGTACCTGGTAGATCGAGTATAATATCAACTTATGACTGCCACTGATATGTTTTAAGTATCATTGAGATAAAAACATAATTAAAGGGCACATATAAGTATATGCTGTTTTTATTAACAAACGTATGAGCTGGAGTATACATAAAACAAAGATTATACATGGCAGGAGCGAAGCCCGCTTTCCGCCAGTCGAGGGGTTGAGATTGAAGTATTTTCCAAATCGGTGCCACCTCCTTCAAAATTTAGCTAGAAACTTCAAATAAAAACCTCTCATCAAAACCTCTCATCTCCCTTTTCCTTATGGTTGTATCTTTTGGGTGGGGGTGAGATCGCACCGTACGCACCTGACTATGGCCATACATGTTACAAAAATATATAAAATCAACAATATGTTTAACTCCTCGCAACAAACAATACAGACAATACTTCAAACAGTTTCGAAAATCTCTCAAAATTGATAACAAATAGTTTTTCCCACTTTTTATAATCAATCAGACTATTTTCGTAACATTTCAAAATATATTTCAATTTTCAAATTTCTCTTGTAAAAACGCATTTCACCACCAAAACACATTTTGACTTGACTCATATTTGGAACACACATGTTTTAGTCGATATTGCATGCAAATCACAACAGGCTGGCGAAGATAAGAACTATTAAGCTCCCAAAATCCTTCAAGTTGATTAAACATGGTATATTTCGACTTTTGAGAGCTAACTAGACTAATTTATATGATAAATTTTCAAAAATATTTTTTATCAATTTAATTTTTTTGCAAAAACACATTTTTACCCAAAAACTCACTTCGACACCTATTTCATCTTGGCAAATCTCAGTATCAATAAAGGAACCCTTACCTTTCAATTAGTAACCATGGTTAAGGTGCTCAGCAAAATGTAAGATGTCATTTCATTTTCAGCATACCAATTCTAGACTATTAATGTGAGTGAGCAATATTACAGTGAATTATAAAAATATTTAATTATACTTTCGGTGAATAACTATAACACTTTCACAAGATGATATTCCACCAGCACTTCGGGCTTCGTGGAAATATCACTTGTGAAAGATGCACATGTATTCACCTCACTAGATTTAAATGTTTGAATAATATTATAACATCACTGTCATATTCCTCACTCTCTGATTGGTCCATATCTTACGCATGACTAAAAATGAACAAGCGATAACACGTGACTTTCGTTGAATATCAAATTTTATTCCATGACGGTCCAGTATCCCAACGCCCCAGATTTCCATCAAGGATATGACTATTACTGAAAAAATCAACGCATGCTAATATTTGTATTTTGCTACAAATATCTGATTTGAATATCAGGAAATGATACGGTGATCATCACACTTTATAATTTTAAGATAAAACACGCATCGGTAAATATAACAATATATAAAAAAAATCAATATGAAGCATGAACATTGTTTTCATGACCTAGTAAAAATCCAATATGGCAGACGAAAGTCGAAAAAACGTTTCGCTACACTGCACTTCCAGCTGATGAAATTGAAGAAAAAATAAATGAAATCAAACTTATAATACAATAAAAGCAAACAACAAGGCCAAAAAGACTTTGAAGGAATTTCGATGTAAACTATCTTTGAGGTGAGAAGGTTGATCTGTTTCTCTGGTCTCAAGCCAAGGAAATGGACTTGATTTAGGGGAGCTTTATCTGAGTAATCATTGAATAATAGCGCATCGTGAAATACGACCTTCTCGGGAAGAATATTTTCTGTTTTTTACTCGAATCATTGAATAACTTATATTATTATATCACTATCTAGCTAGCGACAGTATGATTGGTCAAAACCGGGTCACATGTCGTGGGATATCTGGCGATATTCAATGGCAATGCTAATCAGATAAGACAACCGTGAGATATCTAGCGATATCCCACGCTCCCGGGAATTTTCAAAGAATTTGTTTTCGTTCAGTGTAAATAATTTAGTTGAGTGTAAGTCAAAATGGCATACGAACCGAGTAGAAATATATGTATTTCAATGTTAACCTATGACTTAATAATATTAGGGATGTTTAGCTAGACCACTGGGGGGTATCGTGATGCAACAACACCGTGTTGTTGCATCAAGATGGCCAGACTTCCGGTGATAGATTTTCGTACGATGTTTTGTTTTCCCAATTTACACCCATTTCTAGGACGAGTTGCTCAATAATCATACACATACAGTTAGCGCATGATCTATATTTTAAAAAACTGTCATTGGTATACATGTAGCATCATCAAGAAGCGATAAATTCGTGGTTTTGATTCCTCACTATTGATGCAACAACACCACTCTGTTTCTTATCGATGATGCAACAACACCAATGTGCTGATGCAAAAACGCCAATATAATGTATCATTGAACAACAAGAGAAACTGTTTTATGTTCTGTTTACAGGTGTAGGTCGGGACATGAACATATCCATGAACGAAACGCATTTTGTTTGGTTTCTTTGTCTATATCAAAGTTAAAAGGATATTCAAGGCAAACTAAATAAAGTACTGAATCTCCGGGAGGCAATCTCATTGATATTGTATCTGAAAAATAAAGATTATACATTTTCTAAATTAAATGTCCTTGATTTGCCGTATGGAAATTGTTTACAAATAACTAATATAATTTTGGAAAGACAACAGATATCAGTCATTTTGTGTTGTTAGTACCTCAATTGAAATACTCAATTCTGATTGGTTGATGAGCGGTCAACAAAATGTATTGTTAGTACCTCAGTGTAAATACTCGCATCTGATTGGTCAATTAGCGGGCAACATTTTTGCCTGTACCCCACCTATGCATCATGGGATATCATATTATTGACCGCGTATTACTGTACTACACTTGTGAATTATGGGGAATATGACGTCATAATGTTTACAGAAAAACATGGTAGACGGACATTTCGTAAACGTTGATGAAAGTGATATTTTGACTATATGCTAGACAAGTATAGCAGAAATACAAATAGAAATGTAAAATTAACATTAATTTACTAGTGAGTACGCAGTGATGTGCCGAAAACAGAGAGTTAAGCTACCACTGTCTTCAGATTTTCTTAAAAAATCATTGCTGGCGTGGTTCGAAGAAAAGATTGTGCAATGAAGCCATGATTGATGACTGTCGTCTATATGTGTATTATTAGTTTCTTCTGACTAACAAAACAATTGTAGACTTCTCCATTCGGTCAACCGTCAAAATCTTATACCTCGACTTTAAACCTTGAAACTACTGTTGACCTCGACCTTCGGTCTCTGTCAACAGTAGTTTCTCGGTTTACAGTCTCGGTATACAATTTTGCCGGTTGACCTCTGGAGAGGTCAACAATTGCATATTGTTAGTACCTCAACTGAAAAACTCGATTCTGATTGGTTGATTAGCGGTCAAAATTATGTACTGTTGACCGCTACTAGGTACTGTTGACCGCTACTTCTGAAAAAAAGTTTCATGACGTTACAAAAAAACATGGAAGACGGACATTTTGTAAACGTTGATGAAAATGACTTTACTAGGCGACAAGTATAGCAAAAATACAATTAGAAACTTAAAATTAACATTAATTCACTAACGAGTACGCCGTGATGTGCCAAATACAGAGTTAAGCTACTTGCACTGTCTCCAGATTTTCTAAAAAAAATATTGCTAACGT